AAAGATCCGTTCCAGGCGTCTCTCTGGGCTTCTGGTCGTGCTTAGCCTGTGACAGCTTCACCCCAGTCTCCGTGGAGGCTCCCTGTGTGTGTCTGCAAGTCCCCTCCTGTAAGGACCGGGTCATATGGATCAGGGGCTCACCTCCTCCAGGGTGGCCTCGCTTTAACTGAGCCCACCTGCCAGGACCTTATTCCCAAATAAAGCCGTTTTCTGATGTGGCAGGGTGGGGGGGACTACGGCAACACAGAAGCTGGGGAGAAGGACCGAAATTCACCCCGTAACAGGTGGCTTCCTGCCTCCTCGGCTCTCGGTTTCAGGGTCTAGACCACAAGGGTCTCTGTTCAGAAAAAAGGGTTCGAGAGGTTCCAGAAGGAGATGCTCCAGTCCTCACTGATTTAGAACTTAACCCTTTGGAAAATGAGCCGCCACTTTGAAGGGAATGCAAAGGAGACACCAGCAATTCCATGCTTAAATGGATGCTTGTGAGAGGTGAAAAATAGAAAGAGGCGTGTGGGTCCCACCACAGGAGTGTACTTGGCAGGCTGGGGGCACAGGGGAGGCACTGGTTCGAGTCCTAGCCCACCCTAAAAAGCTGGGTATCATGGTGCACACCAGTAACGCTGGCTAACCTGGAGGCTAGGGCAGGGGTGTCCCGAAATTTGTGTGTGTGTGTGTGTGTGTGTGTGTGTGCATGTGTGTGCACCCCAGATGCTGATGGATGGGGAAATGGAGAAGGGATTGCAGTGTGATCACACCCCAATGGGGGCATTTTCTCGCTTTCCCTTTATCTCTAGTTCACACACAGGCCCCCGGCAAAGGTTTTTTATGTTTATTTTTACTTTTGCTATTTGTTGTAATTTTATTTATTTATTTATTTTATTTGACCAGAGACAGAAAGAGTAAAAAAAAGAGAGAGGGAAAGTGAGAGAGCAAGCCACCAGGTCCAGGATTTGAACTGTGGTCAGCCATGTGGGAGTCCAGCACGTTAACCAGTGTGCCACCTGCTGGCCCCCAGAAAAGTTTTTTTTTCCACATGAAAAATTTTTAGTTTATTAATCCTCTCATGAAAACTCCGCACACTCACCGCACACAGGCATTGCAGAAGCTTCACTCCGACGGCTCTCCAACCTTTAGCTCACTTTTGCCAGCATCGCCCTCGGCCTTTGCAGTCCCCAACTTTCTTCGTTCTGTTATCGCGTTCCTTTCGCTGTTTCTTTGACGTCTTTTTCTTCTCATAGAGGCCATGTCTTGCAAGTCTATATTTGGGTTCATTTTTTTTTTTTGAGAGAGATGTTTGCTATAGGGTGTGTGAGCTCACTGGAGAGACAGAGAGACAGAGGGAAAGAAATCATCCCCCAGGTGGGTGGCCACACCACAATCCCTCCTCCTCCACTCTCCTCTTGGGATCTTGGGCATACGCACCCTGCATGAGTTTTAAGCCACTAGATCTGGGTCTCAAACCACGGTCAACTACGTGGGAGTCCAGCGACATAACCATTATGCCATCTGCTGGTCCCTACTGTGCATGTTTTACAGTGACTGGCTTGGGGGAGATCTTCTTGGCCTGCTTGGCCAACCTGAACCTTGGGTGAGCACTGTTTGACTCCACGCCTGGTGTCCACCCAGCTGTGCCTGGACTGGACAAGCAGCCTGGTCTGGGGTGTTGATTGGCAGCTGAGGGGACACTGGTTCCAGAGGCGTCCAGAATACCTACCGGCGTCTCAGCACTGGGGCAGGGCGGGTGTCTGGTGTGTTTCAGACCGTGCACACCTGTTTGGGGGTATCTTACAGCATCTCTATTGGTGGCATCTACTATGCGTTTGGGGGTACCCACGAGCTCCCTTGGCCTCCCCAGTATGTGTCTGGGTACCTGAAGGCCTGTTGGGGGTTACCCAATAGCTCCTGGGTGGAGGTATCTGGTGTTTTGGGGATATTTGGCATGTTTATCGGATTCTGAATGTTCACTTTTGAGGACCTGGTGGACTTAGGTGTGTGTTGGACCTTCACATCTGAAAGTCTGTCGTGGGTATCTGATGGCACCTGGCTGGGGGGCTGGTGTGTGTTCAGGGTACCTGATGGCCTACACTGGGGTGTCTGAGACCTCCCTGAGAGGTTATCACTCCTGTAACCTGCACCCTCGTCACAGGTGACAGGCCCCAGCCTGTCCATTTGTCGAACTCTCCCCCCTCGGACTCTGGCCACCCAACGGTCCCCTTTAGGTACCCCAGCTCTCTGACACTCCCATCTCCAGGCATTCCCGGACACCCTCCAAGCCCCCAGGATTCCCTCGCAGACCCGCTCGTCACCCAGGTTCCTGCTGGTCCCACAAAACACCCCCCCAACCCTACTGTTCTCCCCTCAAGGTACCCCTGCACCCTGCTTTGTCCTCAAGTGCCCCCAGCCTCACCAACACCCAGATCCTCGATCTCCCCTTAAAAGAACACCCCATGGGACCAGCAGTGGCATGGTGATTAAGGCGCTGGACACTCCCACATGGCCGACCATGGTTCAAGGCCTGGACCTGGTGGCTTGCTCTCTCTCTCTCTCTCTGTCACTGTCACTGTCTAGTCAAGTTAAGATAAATGAATGAATAAATAAAATTAAATAATTTAATAAAAAAGAACACCCCCAACCCCACCGATCGCCTTCAAGGGCTGCCCTCACCCGCATTGTCCCCGCGAGGACCCTCCTCGCTCAGGTCCCGCGCACCCTAATGCCAGGTGGACGTCCCTTTGCAGCCATTCAGGGTACCCTCGGGCCACGCCCCTCCGTGGCCACACCCCCTGGTCCGCCTATGGGGGCGGGGCCGCGCATGCGCCGTTCGCACCGCCCACCGCCAGCTTCCGGCTCAGCGCTGCGGGCGCCAGTGGACCCGGGGACGCCGGGCAGCGGCGGCGGGCGTCAGAGTGGCCGAGGTGTGGCCGGAGAGGGACCTGCGGCGGACTGGGCCGAGGTGAGGGCGGCGGGGCGGCCTCGGGGCTCGCGGGGGCGGAGGCAGGCTGCGGGGGTGCGGGCCATGGCCGCCGGCCCTGGGGCTCTGCAGAGCGACAGGGGAGGAAGGTGACCTGGGCTCCCGCCGCTCCTGGCACCAGAGCCTGTGCAGAGTGGGGATGGGGTCACCCGCACCGGCGTCCAGCGAGGCCAGGCTTCGGGGCCGGCTGGGTGCAGACCCGTGCGGCTCGGGTGTGCACGCCCCGGAGTTGTGTCTGTCCCAGAGCTGGGCAGCTTATTTCCGGCAGGAATAGACGCCGGGCTGGGCCTGCGCGCCCCGACCCAGCTGTCTCCCCCTTCCCTTTGACCTGCTGCTCTGCTGAGATCCGAGCCATAGCGAGATGCCCGGCCAGGGAGAAAGGGGGGCGTGCAGTCTTACCCCCGAAGCGCAGGGGAGGACACAGCGTGCCCCCTTGGCCTGGCTCCAGGGGACAGACCTCCAGCCAGCATTGCACGGCCCCCTCTGTCCTCCTGGGCCAGGAGCGCTGGGACAGGGCAGCAGCTCGATGGCCCAGCGTGCTTTCGGGATGCGTTTTGTTGAGGTTGGTGATTTAGGACATCTGTGATCATAATCATTTTTAAAAATAAAATCTTAACGTCCTTTAAAACATTTCAAATGTAGTCTTAGAATGTATGTGAGAATGCAAGGAAAACAAACTAAAAAAAAAATAAATTATTTAATTTAATTTTATTCATTGTCATTATGACGACGATTATTTTCTTATCGAAGTTGACCAGAGAGAGAAGGAAAGTGAGAAAACCAGCCACCAGGTCCAGGACTCGAACCACAGTCAGCCATATGGGAATCCACTGGCCTCCTTCACCATGCCACCTACTGGCCCCAGCAAACCAACTTTCTAACGTCCTTGTATAACTAGAGGAAGTTTGTCTGGCGTGCTCTGTGTTTTTTATTTAACTTGACAGGTGGGAGACTAGTTGAACTCCGCACTGTAAACACTGTTGGTGAGGATCGTCAAGTAAAACGAAAGCCCTCTATCAAAACAGATTTGTGAGCAATGATGCTGGCGGCATGTAAAGGTTTGAAATTTGCCCGGAATACACCTCCGTGTCTGAAGTTGCCCGGTCTCCTCCTCTAATTCAGCTTATTTGTTATGCACTAGCATTGCAGAGAAAAAAACATGTCTTGTTCTCTGTATTTAAAAAAAAAAAAAATTCTTCAATTTAAAAAAAAAAAAAAAAAAAAGTGTGGAGTGCGCAGGCGTGAGGGTCAGAGCTGGGTTCTGATCCGAGTCCCACCCCCTGTCCACCGCGTGATGTTGCTGAGCCTCAGCCCCCCCCCCGCCTTTAAAGTGGGAATAAGGGTTGGTTGGGGTTCGAGGACACGCTGAGCCTCGGGGATATAGCAAGGTGCTCTCTAAACGTCCTGCAGCCTGTGCACGCACGCAGGCCCCCCGGGCTCGTGAGAACTGGGCTGTTTGGAGCATCTGGGTCGTTGCTGGGGCTGGGTCCGAGTTGATGCTTACCAAGAGATGGCATTTCTGTGGGTCAGCAAGCCTTCTTGACAGTTTTAAAAACTGAAGATGGGGCGAGCAGGTGGCATGGTGGTTGAGGTATTGGACCCCCACATGGTCAACCCCAGTTCAATTCCCAGACCTGGCAGCTTGCTCTCTCTCACTCTAGTCAAATTTTTAAAATATTGGTAATAAAGGGACCAGCAGTTAG